TTTTAACAAGCCCCCAAGGCCACCACTTCTTGGGGTTTCGCTTTTTTCCGGGGACGCCTGAGTGTGTAGATGTGAATAAGTATCGTGTGCCTTTGTCCCTGTGAAACGGTCTTTTTAAATTTACTTCCCAGACCTTGGTTACTGACCCTCAGAGGGAGAGGGAAACGTTTCCCTCCCCGACACCTGCCTCCGGGGGCTCGTTCACTAAACACAGACACCCGAGACTCTGGACCGATGACCAGGCCCCGTGGGAACCACTCGCTCGGGGAAGTGAAGAGTCTTGGAGCGGGCCTGGCCCGTGTGACTCAGCGGATAGAGCGTCGGCCCTCGGACTGAAGGGTCCCGGGTTCGATTCCGGTCAAGGGCACTGGGTTGATGGGGTGCAAGCAGGAGTCAGCCAATCGATGCCTCTCTCTCACATCAATGTTTCTCTCTGTGTGTCTGACCCTCCCCGTCCCTTCCGCTCTCTTTAAAAATCAGTGGAGAAATATCCTTGGGGGAGGGTTAACAACAACAAAAAGTGCAGGCCTCTGCTGCCGTCCCCGGCCTCTTCCCCTTCCCCCTCGCCCCCTCCCTTCTTCTGTCCCTTCCCGTCCCTTCCTCAAAACTCCAGTCTAACGTCAGGGGAGATAGCAGGACGGCAGCCTGGGCAGGCTCGGAGCCCAGGGACACCCAGGGCCGGACAGGGTGTGAGAGGCCGCAGGGGAGGAGGGAGCCGCAGGGGAGGAGGGGGCCGCAGGGGAGGAGGGAGCCGCAGGGGAGGAGGGAGCCATCCGGGAGTCACCTCATTAGAACAAAAGACGCTCCTCTCCCCCAGGAAGTTACAAGGGACTTAGGGGTTCTGTGGGGAACCAGGGCCAAAGACTACATCTGAGAACTGGACAGAGACCACGCATCTCATTATTTCACGGGGACACGGCAGCGCCTGATGAGCACCAGCCGCGTGGATGCCGGAGGGTTACCCTGACCCAGAGGTTCCCACGCCTGAACGAGGACGAGGGCCCGGGACGCAGCTGGAAGATCAGTGTCCCCGGTTCCCATGGCGCCCCCTTGGCCCCAGGACCGCTGCGCTGCGGGGTCTGCCGTCGCCCCTGCTCTGCAGGGGAGGCCTGAGGCCTGGATGAGTCCCGCTGGACCCAGCGACCTTGTGCTCTGAGAGCTGGCGGGGGGTGGGGGGGGGGGTAGGTCTGAAAAGGAGAAACAGAGGCCGGAACTTCCGAGCGCGTGGAGACCACAGCCCATCGCGGAGTCCCAGGCTCCTCGTGACCACAGTTAGCCCGGGAGGCAGCCTGTGCCCTCTCACTGCACAATGACGGACAACAGGCCGCTCATGCATTCGGGTGGTTTCCTTCAAACGACTGAATTCTGAGCCTACACCTTGGAGAGATCTGCAAATGGCCCGCAAAGCAGTTCTCACTGAGAGTCGGCAGCCAGGCGATCCACGGCCACGGCCCACGGCCACGGCCATGACCCACAGCCCACACCCACGACCCAAGGCCCACGGCCCACATCCACAGCCCACACCCAAGGCCTACGGCCCACGGCCATGACCCATGGCCCACGGCCCACACCCACCCACAGCCCACACCCACGGCCCACGGCCCAAGGCCCACGGCCACAACCCAAGGCCCAAGGCCCACGGCCCACATCCACAGCCCACACCCAAGGCCTACGGCCCACGGCCATGACCCATGGCCCACGGCCCACACCCACAGCCCACACCCAAGGCCCACAGCCCACGGCTCACAGCTAATGATCAGCTGGCTTTTCTCTGGTTAGCATCTGCTCCAGAAAGATTTGTGTGAAAATGGAAGGAAACCAGGATTCACTCCACAATAGGGGCCATTGTTCTGAGCCGCCGCCTTCCCTTACCTGTTTACCTTTTATTTCACAATCTCACAGGAAGTGAGGGTCAAGGATTTTTGATTCCCGCTTCCCCTCTGGTGAAGGCCAGAGGAGACCAGTTGTTTTTCTGGTTGAAAAAAAAAAAAAAAAAAAAGAAATAGGTAGGACATTCACACGGAGCCAAACACTCCAGGTCACGGTGTGGGATTTCCACCGCATTCCCCGCAACCGCAGGAAGCTGCGCGAGGGGCTGCGCTGCCAGCATCGCTCTGTTCTGTCTATTGCACGTTGTTGATCAGGATCAAAAGCTGGACAGAGATTAGGTTCCTTACTGACCACAGGTGAGGAGGGCAGGACGCACCTGTGAGGGCGGGGGAGGCGGCCGGAGGGCTTCACCACGCTCTCCTCCCCGCTTCCCGGTTCTAGACCAGCCCGCTGTCCGGCCTCTGCTTCTAGAAGTCAGCATCTGCTGAAGACCCCGCGGGGTGGAAGTCAGGTGTGAATTCGAGCGCCAGCTCCAACACAAGGGCAGAGGGAAACCTCCCCAGCAGCCCTGGCCGGGTGGCTAGTGGTTGGAGCATCGTCCCGTACGAGGCAAGGTTGTGGGTTCAGTTCCCGGTCAGAGCAATGCCTAGGTTTGCAGGCTCGATACCCAGGTCTCTGGGCAATCGATGTTTCTCTCTCTCTCTCTATCTCTCTCCATCTCCCCTCCCCTCTCTCCAGAAAAACCTCCCCAGGGTCCAGTCTTCTAATGCCTAAAGTCAGGTACTAGAGAGGAATACCTTTTTAGGGCATTTCTAACTTTTTAATTGCCCTGAAAAAAAATTATTCCAAAAAATTGAAAATTTATAATTCAGTTTTAATCGAGATTGTCATCATGAAATAAAATTAGTGTGTCCAATACATACACACATTTCTGTACTAAAGGCCCAGGCTCTGAACTCGGAATGCTTGGGTTCAACTCCTGTCTCTGTCCCTCACCAGCTCTGGGCCCCAGGGGTCAATATTGACCTCCGGTGCCTCAGTCTCCACGTCTGTGAAATGGGCGGATGGCGACATGTATTTCCCTGGTTCCCATGGACGGAACGAGTGAACAGGAAGTGGTCCCGGCGCACAGTGAGCCCGTCATCTTGTTCGGCTACAACAGCGCAAGAGAGTTTTGTATTTTGGAAAGAACATGAATATGTTTCTAAAAGAAAAAAAAATTAAATGGACAAATCCACACACGGACCAAAACTTTGCACTGTCCAATTTCTTTGCTGATTTTTTGTCTAGAGGATTTATCCAGTGATGTCAGTGGTGTGTTTAAGTCCCCTACTATGATTGTGTTGTTGTAGATCTCTCCCTTGTTATTTTCCAGGAGTTTTTTTATGTGTTTGGGTGCTCCTGCATTGGGTGCATATATGTTTAT